TGTGGAGAGCACCAGTAGACCAGTATGGATTTCAGCAGAGGGTTTCTCCGCTCCTTGGTAGAAAGGCAATGTGGTTAGAGAGACAGAAAGGTTAGGTGATATCACAGAATACATTGCCAGCCACAGTGGACAGAGTTGTTTCCAGGGCTGCAGGTGCCTCTGCCGCTCTGCTGTGGGGAGGCCTTACGACAGAGCAACCCTTTGTTTTCATTGCGCCAACCCGAACCGCTCACGCTGGCTGCCAGAGTCGGTGCCTGCGGGGTGGCGGAAGCAAGGGAGAGTTTGAATCTCGAGCAAAGAGATTGCTTTGTGTCATGTGTTTGCTCTGAATTTAGAGTTAACCCCCCCCAGTACGGTCTAAGCAAACTCTATGTGCAATGTTGCTACTGGTTGAGGAGCATGGGCTCAGTTATGAGCAGCATTGTATGTTTATTTGTGATAAGCAGAAACTGAGAGCTATGGCGTACAGGCACACAGCTCCATTGCTTTCACATTGGCGGGTGTCATTGCTCCTCTGCGTAGCCAGATGGGGAGCCTGTCTCTACCCGCCCGTCCTCACAAACACCACCCTGCAGCCCAGCTACTGCATTGAAGTCTCTGAAAACTCCATCGCAGTGTACGTCGTCTGTTAACCTCCCGCCGCAGGGAGCTCGTTGTCTGCAGAGTTAATAACAGAGGCTAAGTCTTCAGTTAAGTTAGAGAAAACAGCAGCTGGACACACACCAGATGAGTAGCTCTTAAGCAACTCTATTACCATTTCAAAGCACTACAGACATAGTAACCAGTTAATCCTAAAACAACTCGGGCAGAATAGAGTTTTACACAAGATGAAACAAAAATATAACAATGTATAGAGACTCATCCTATGTCCTGTTAGGAGTCTGTAGTAGAGTGGGAACAAGCAGCGGATAACTTCCACAGTTACGCATCAGCCAAGACATTACTGTTTCAGTCATCTTCTGTAGAGAAGAGTCGTAAAAGCAGGGGGGGAGGAATTCTTAGGCCCACAAGTCCATGGATAAAGTTTACAAAGCATAAATAAGAATCTACAGCCAAACATAACTGTTTAGGCACTTGAATGCCACCAAGTGCACGTGATTAAAATTACATGATTTAAGATGAGTTGTTTAGAATGACTTGGGGAGCAAAGTTTACCCACATTTCTTACCAAAAGCTTGGTTTCATTTCTTTGCCCTGTGACATCATCTAAAAGAATCCAGCTCACCTCCTGTGACACAGTGCTGCTCTGTGAAGCTTTATGCAATAGGTCAGAGTATTTAATGTATTTTGGGATGTAGCTCCCCAGTAAACCACAATACGAGCAACTAAATCTGTTGATGGGTGCATAACCTCAAGGAATAAAGCGCAGCAGTAGATTTGCAAATAAGAATTGTGATTGGCCTTGCTTTTTCTATGTTTAGTCTTGACAGTCGGACACAAGGAAAATGTAAGTGAAATAAAATAGGTATTTTGGAACTTTTTGGTCCCTGTGATCAAAAAGGTAACCCTGGGAGGAGTTCTGTGGTGACAGCAGATGGCAGCAGAGCTGTACTCAAATATTTAATTTGCAGTGGGGAAGAAACAAGTACCTTTATTGTGGAGCCAGAAAAGGGCTGCTGTGCACTTAAATACAGTTCTCAAAACTGCTATGCTACTGGTACCAGCCTTGAAGACACTTTATTTTCTTTACCAACTCATTTTTCAGTATTGATATGTTCTGCTTTTAGAGCAGTGCTCCTGCTTGTGTCCTGCAGAACCAGTCTTCACTGGCTAGGCTGCAAAGGACTTAGCTTGCATATACATCCTATTAAGGACTGATAAACTATGCCTTCTTGCACCAGCTTTGCTTGAAGGACCCGATCAGGTAGATGTTTCCAGAGCATTCCTTCTGATATTTTCATGAATTCAGTCCTGAGGTGTCAGAGAGTCCCTGTGTGTCAGGAGACAGGCATCTAAAATCAGGGCTGACAGTCTCGTACCAGAAGGCATATGTCCTGTGGACATCAAAGTACTGTTTTCATCCTCACATGAGGAGAAACCAACCATTTAATACAGAAGTTGTGCAGTCCCACTTTTAATTGTAAATCAGCAGTAGTTGTGAGCGTGGCTTTGATTCTTCTCCGCATAATATTATCTCTTTCTATTGTTTTTCAGAAGTACTACAGCTTCGTGGAAGCCTGTAGATGCAAAGAGCATGAAATCAAACACATCTGCAGATACCACGGCAGGCAAGCAAGGCAAAGAGAGCCGGAGTCCTTCAAAGAAGAGGTAAGTAGGTGGTTTTGGTTAAAGGTTATTCCTTCCTCCCCATGGGACAGTTTTTATGCATCTAGTGTCTATGACACCTGCTTACACTAACGTGTGTGGGTTGACATCAGAAGCATGTGAACACCTGGACTGATCTGAGCCTTCTGTTGGCAGGCAGAGACAGTGGGGGCAGAGTAACTTCTAGTGGCACCTATCAGTGTCGTATCAGTTTTTTTGTGGAGGGGAAAATTTCACAGACATAAAGCATCCCCTCTCTCAGGGGCTGAATTTGCCTTTTGTGTTACATCATTAGAAAACAGTATCTTTTTCTTTTCAGAGGACTAAAGCCCCTGGAACACCCAGTCAAGCTCCAGCTCACCAGCAATGTGTAAGTTTATACAATACTTTGTTTTTAAATTGAGGTATAGCACTTCCTTATCATTTTCCATCAAGCTGGTTGAAGTTTATGATCAGGTGTGGAGCCTTTGTGATGGCACAGATGGTTAACCAGTGGTGCATTCACAATCCTAATGTGTCTGAAGGTGGGCAGCAAAATGGGCAAAGACTTGCACACAACCAATTAAGAGTCTACTTTATATTTTGGACTGGTACAGAATGTCAAACACTGTAATTAATCTTTAGGCCCTTGTGAGTTGCATCAGCAACAATAACCCAGCAGTTCTCTCCTTTATGCTGCTGACACATTCCCTGTGCTGAGGGAAGGCAAGGCATGCAGCAAGGCATGCAGTAGTTGCTTAGCCAGTTACGCTTTGCCCTCATACAGTCTCTCTGAAGACTCCTGTTCCTCATGGAGAAAAAAACTTCTTTTATTTTTCAAAGCCCAAGACCTTACTGAATCAATTTCTGGAACTTCTAAGCCACAAAAGATGAGAAACATGGAAACTGTACCACAGTACAAATTAGTAGGAAGCACCCTTGTTGTATGGAGGTTTTCCAGGTTTATGTTCAAAGCTGCTTAGGTTGGCAACTTTCAGTTTTGTGAGGCAGAGATTACAGCATGTTGATTATTTCCATTGATTGAAACATTAGGTGAAATAGTTTGAGTATGATGCTTGCTATTTTTTGTAGCGACAGAAACATGTTACGGTTTTGTCCATGCTGCCTGTATATTTTGAATAATCTTAGTATGTTTACAGAGCAGCTGAAATGTAATTTTCTTTACCCAAATTCAAACCTTTTGTTTTTGTGGGCAATCTAAGATGACTAAACAGTAATGAATCTTTCTTCCCCCCTCCTAAAGACCAGACAAGTTTGTGAAGACATCTACATTGAAGTTTCTCCTGGCACCTATTCTGTCACAGCAGCCTCAGAGGACATGGTGCAACAAACCCACGTGGTGAATGTGTGCGCAGGACAAAGTGTTGATTTAACTTTTGTTCTTTGATGTTTGCTGTTTCTTGGCAATCACAGGAGTAAAATATGAGGCTTTTGTAATGCATCTAATGAACTATGTATATCTTTTTCTTGTTAGCACTTTAATAGTGTCCTCCTCTTTGGGACTCCATTTTTATGGCCTGTATATTTGTTTTCTACTTAACGCAATTGTACACAGCCCACTTTGTACACTGATTTTATAAATATTTGTACATTGTGTGCCTTAAATCCAATTATGTGACTCTGTGTAATTCCAGGTTCTTATGCTTTAAACAATTAAAGGTACAATCAGTGGAATAAAATAAGTAATTTAGTCTTGGTGATGACAGCTTCTTTTATACTATCCTCAGACAGAAAGTTCACGCCACATTCATGAGCTCAGAGAGCATGATCCACATAATATGAATATGGATGTATATTAGCTTCTGATAAAGAAATCAAATGCAAATGAAATTCACTGTCTGGGAGCCCAACTCAGGAAGGTGCTTGAATATGTGTCAGATGTTCAATATAGGCACATAAATCACCGATGCTTCAAGTCCTGTCTCTTTGCAGGCGCTTACCTAGGCTAAGCAAACACCAGTTAGCTGCGTTTTTCAGCAGGGTACCCTGAATTGTCTCCTATTTCCTGCAGGGGAAAAGCACTGCTGAGCAAGTGTGCGCTGCAGCTTACGGCCAAGTTCATGCGCTTTAAACCATGAGCAGTCCCCCACTACTGAGACTCCCTGGATACTGAACTCTCCCCAGGGATCAGGCTCCAGAGTTAGAATCAGTGACATAACCTACAGATATCCGTAATCTTTTTGTAGCTGATGGTATTAAGGTTTCAGTTCCTTTTCATGGGAATATAAAACTCAGTGGCTTGAATGCTGGATCTCTGAGCATTTTGTTGTTTGTCTCTACAGTAGCAGATCCTTTACCCTCTGGCTACTTTCTTTTCTGCTTTGATCCTGAAAAAAGTATTTTTGGCTGTCAGCTTGTATTGTTTCTCCATTCCTTCTGGTCTCTACAAAAGGAATCGCTATGCTGAATTCCTCTGGCCGACTCCAGAGAACTGTGGACAAATTGGGAGGTTCACTAGCCTCTTGCTCTGCATCTGTGCAGGCTTTTAGTGCTCATACTACCTTACCTGATCTCTCCAGAATGGTAAAGCCAAGTCCAAATAATTAGGAATGTAATAAAACACCTTGGAGTAAAGAATAAGGATGCTGAAATTCTATGTGGGTGAAAATAGAGTTTCTCAGTTATTAAAATTACAGTTGTCCATAAAGATATTCCACAGTGACAGTGCCTAAATCAGACCTTAATTTGCTTAATAAATGTAACACTATTATAGTATAAGCAGTTTACCTAAAATGTCAGGTCCTGAGCTTCATCAGTTATATATTTATTGAGTTCTGGTTGATCATATCTCTCTCTGCTTTGTTGCAAGTGAGCTCTTTGCTGTTTTTTCTGTCTGTCCTCTTCTGATGTGGTCTGCATCATCAAGTTTGTCATCTCCTACGCAAGTCGCTTTATGTTTATCATCTGACTCTGCTTTCTTTCTTGCTCTTTTATATCTTTGCTTTCCTAATGCTGCAAAACCTTCTTCCTGGAAGACAGAAAAAAAATCCCTTGGAAGTCCAGTCCAAAAAAAGCATCAGCGTCTTTCAGTGCTGCTTTCCTGGCTGCAAGAAAGCTACAGGAGACAGAGCTACTGATAATAATGGTGTTATTTCTGTGCTAGTACAAACCTTACTGCTGAAACACAGAAGTGTACAAGACCACCACAGGATTTTGAGAAGCTGCTAGGCTTTGACCAAACATTGCTCCTTTGGAAGTTAGGAGGATTTTTTGGTGACTACAGTGGGAGGACATTAGCCCAACAGAGAGCATCTCTGGGAAGCCTGCTCCCTGGCATCACTTGTTCGTTGCAAGTTGCTTCTGATGCAGCCTGTACTATACGATAAAACTGCTTCAGCTATCCCTAAGAGTAGCAATTTACCTTCTGGGTTTCAACACACCTTTAGAAAACACCAAGGGCTATTTTACAGGATGTCACTCTGTATTACCACATTGCATCCACTACTGTAATTCATGCTGCCAGTTTAGGGCTAGAATGAGGCCACTCTGGTTTCTTTTTAGTTTTACCAAAAGGCAAAGCACGTCACTTCAACGCACAGATGTGACTCTTGCTAACACAGAGCATGTCTGCCTGGAGCTCCATACAGGCCTAAAAATTCCAGGTACCTAGGAAATAAATTAGAAAGGTGTATAGTGGGTGTAATTATGATTATTTTTGTAATAAAAGAAGAGTTAAGTTGGTAGGCATCTGCTTAAAATTAATGCATATAATTGTGAGAATACAAGATATGTTCCAGTATACTCTGTTCGCTAAGACATTGCATTAACAGATTAATCTTATCCTAAAGAAAATCATGCAAGTTTAGCATGTTCAAAGTTTTACTCTGTAGTCAGCTCACAGTAGCAAGAGCATGGAGGAACAGAGGGGATAATATTTGATTTCTGATGGATAATTAATTGATTGTATCCCTGTGAGCAATGTTTCTGTTCATCCTGCCATTCTCTTTCATATTCCCCTTCCTGCAAGCTTTTTTCCTCCTCTTTTCTCTGCTTGTTTTTTTTGGCATTTTTGTTCTGAGTTTGGTTTTTTTTTTTCCCCTCATGTTTTTCTTAAGCAGGAGGGGACCATGGCTGACAGAAACCAGGCCTGAAAATCAGGGTGTTGTCCTTGTTCCTAGCTGTGACACAGTTTGCCCACTGTGTATCCCCTAGCTTCAGGGTAGGGATCTGCTGTTCAAACTGCTTGCTTCTTGTGAGGGAGTAAGAGAAGATACTGAGTAAAGACTGTTTACTAAAAATATCTGCTTTTATCTTTCAGAGACAGAGATTGTGACTATCAGAGTTTGACTGGCAGAGCCCAGCACCTTTCCAGAGTGAAGCTTTTCTTGTGTTTTACTGCTGCTGACAGTCACTGCTGCCCATTTCCAAGGCTACTCATGTAGGTCTCTACTTCCACAGGACTTCACTATATTTATGTCAGTGGGCATTTGGCAGGTTTCCGAATTGAAATCTGCATTGTTTAATGCTCACAGAGCTACTGTCATAATCTTGCCCATTTTACCAAGCAGCTTCAGCCCCTCCTTATGGCTTTGGGGTTTTAATTAGTGGAGCAGTTCCCTGCCTACCACAAAACTAGTGGAGGGCCTTAGCATGCAGTTAATTTAAAAAAGATGTATTTTTCTAGCCAACTACCAGACCATTAACAAGAATATTTCTTCCATTCAGACCCTGTGTGCTTAAGTAAATACCGTATTAATACAGATTACCTTACCCTCGATGATGGCTGGATATCTTCGTCTCTCAAGATTTCTTTAATTGTGAGTTGCCCTCTGGGAGTCTGCTCAGTGGTTGCAAACACAGCATTCCAATTACCCGGGGCAACATGACATGTGTCCACAATGGAGATGACTTTGGATTCTGGCTTGCCCTTTGTACATGTGCTGCTGCGACTGCCGACTCCTGCAGGGAGTAAAATTGTATCTAAGACCTATGAATAGTGAAATCAGAACCGGAATGGAGAAACATTCATTTCAGAAGAGAGGAAAATGCATTCTAAGCCTGAAAGAATTTCTTTCTATTCTGCATGGACTAGCTATGAAGGTTACTAAAGATGTTAGCACCGTAAAAGGCATAGGAAGATGATGGGGAACCAACTCAGAGAGGGATATCTGTGCTTCCAAATTAAATTCATTGTTCTGGTAGTTTTCCATTGGGTGAATTGCCAAAAGAAGAGCTAGCATGCAAGATGAGGCAGCAGAAACATTGAGGTAGGGGAAGTATTTTATCAGAGGCTCATACGCAAATTTATAGTATTTATACCAATTAACTACAGGCAAAATGACTGCTCAGGTACAGGGGACTCAGAACACACTTGTTTATTTCCCTCTGGCTGCTGCTTCCATGTGGGGGTGTTAAAAGGTACCTGAATTACCAGGATGGAACTTGTGGTGGCTTCTCTTCCAGTATTTCCACTCAGGTCTTGCAGAAACCTTTAGCCTGGGCTTCTCAAGATGGCCAGAGTCTGCGCTAACAGCACTGTCCACCACAGTACTCTTAGTGGGGAATGGCTCCAGGTCCCCCTCTGAATCAGAAGAGGGAGAAGACACTGCCACAGCTGCTGGTTCTTCTTGTTTTGGACCCTCCACTTCTAGAAGACATGGAGACGGCTCGCTGCTGGACTCTGCCTCTTCAGTTTCTCTCTGAAAGACCATAGACCTGGATGGAAGAGGCCACCAATCATCAACATGGGGACGGCAGCAGCAGATGCACCTTATGTATGCTGACAAACAGCATATACCATCACAGCAATAGTGGAAATGTGGCCAGCAGGGTAAGCCGAGCAAGCAGTGCTTGGCAAGGCTATGCACAGAACAAAGAGAAGTCAGGGCTGGTCTAGGACTGAAGGAAAAGATACAAGAATTAGTGTCCAGACTTTCTCTGGGCTTCACGCTGCTGGTGAAGGGCACGCGGATCATCTCTACAATCCTCTCCCACAGGCCAGGGGGGATCCACAGAGCCACACCTCGTGGGAGTTTCACTTTCTTGTCATTCCAGAACTTGACCATAATTTCTTCATCTTCTGAGGCTGTTGAGAGAAGAGGTAAGCAGCCATAAGCAGCTGACCTGCCTGGGCAGTGCACACACACAGATCAGGCTTTACACTTTTATGCATTTTCTAGTCCTGTCAAGTATCAGGATCAGCTATCGCCCCTCTCTCTAACAGCTCACCATAAAATATCATGGATGATGGAGTGGGCAGCTAGGGCACTGTTGGTGTGACAACAGGCCTGGCAGCGTCTTTCATCCTAATTTTTCATCAAATGAACAAGAAAATGTTGACTGAATAACTTTTGTTGTTGGCAAAGTTAGCAGTAACACTCTGAGAACAGTATTTTGGTAAGTCAGCAGAGCCTGACTGCCAGACATGGGAAAAATGAATGAGCTGTTGATATCTCCTACGCTTGGGTGGTAAAATCACTGCCAGATGTACCATTTGACATAAACAGGAGCATGGATGGGTGCTTCCTGACAGATGCCTCACTTGGATCCCCCTGGAAAAGGCCACTGTCCTTCACACTGCAGACACAGCCTTGTCCGAGAAGGTGGAAAACAGCACATCCATCGGCCGACACGGAAGATGCCATTTCTATGGGTCACAACTTCCTTAGGGTCAGACTGGTGAGGTTACGTGCAGATATCCATCAGCAAGTCCCAGCAGCTCCTGCCAACTTTAAGCAATGCTAAACTGTAGTCTGTGCACTGGTGTTTCTCCGGCAGTAGCCCCATGGCAAGAGTTTATCCTGACACTCTCACTCACGTTCCCGAGCAAGGCAATCAAGAAGAGGGCGGCATCCTTCTTACCTCGTAAGGGGTCTCTTGTCTCAATGCCTGTGAGGATGGTTCCTGGGCCGTACCTGGCCATATCTGGCTCCCAGGGTGCCAGTACTTTGTCTCCAGGGAGTAAGGAGTGCTTCATCCCGTTCACATATTCCAGGATGTCATCCTTTGCTGTTTTTTGCATACACACTGGATGCCTTCCACGTGACACAAGTGGTTTGGCAAACTCTAGCAAGAACACGCCTCTTTCACTCTGTTATCAGGAACAAAACAACAAATTCTCTGAAAAACAGTCTGTAATGTGTCATGTCAGATAACCTTCACCAGGAATGTGAAGGGGCTACACAGCTAGGTCAAAACACCAAGCAAGCCCAAAGAGTGACTGAATAGTGTGTGGTGTTAGTCCAGCATCAGGACAGCCAGAACAACCTCTGGGAGGCTCACCAGAAAGCAGGCTGAGTGAAGCATATAGACAGATTCACTACCACTAGGATTTGTATTTTCTTCCACAAGAAGAACAGCTATAGATAGAGTGCAACTGGACCACGCTGTGTGCACCAGATAACAAGGGACACTGAAGCCGTTCAGACCGGTTCATCGGTCATGCCCAAGCCCTTCCTCACTACATACAACACTAAGTCTGCTTCTTGGAGAGTTTGTTGGGAATTTTTATTTTCTTTTAAATTAAGGCCTGCCAAGAGGCTTTCCATCAACAATGAAAGCCGGTACTTCCCTGTTCCCGAGAAAGAATAGACTCTTTTTTCTGTTAAGTTTGAAGTGCTAACAAACGAATGAATTAAAGCTTTCACTAACATCTCTGAAAAGACCCTGAGCCATTGGTCTGTGGCTGACTCAGGCTGGAATTGTGTACATAAAACATTCACGCTTTTCCTGTGCCATGGAAGGCCATGTGTCTACACACAACAGCAGCCGTCACACTGCTCACCACAGCCCAATGCCCAGTGCCAGGAGAAGCAGAGGGCCTGCTCTTGCAAGCTGCACAACACCGCTGCGCTCACCAGCAACGGGGAGTCTGGGGGACTCCCATCTTCTGCACAAGATGAGGATCCCCAAAACACGCCTGCTCACTCCTAGAAACGGACTCAGTGAAGGAGGCTGAGCAGAGCAAGGACCTGATCGTTCTTAGTTTATTGGTGCCTGAGGTTGTGCTGCATGCAAGAGGCTCACCCAGTGTGGCGGGCCAGGCAGCAGGAGGCGAGGACAGCCTGGAATCAGGCACATCGTGACCTTTGTGAATCGACATAACCACAGGCATCAGCTGTCCTGGTCACCTGTTCTCCAGTTCATGCACTAGCTGAAAAACTGCTACACCAAATTCAGGTGATGCATGAGGACTGCTAGTGGACATGACACCCTATCACACACACCCGCAGCTACCGCACAGCAACAGGCACTCACCTCTGACTCCTCTTTCACTGTACCATGGTAATAAAATCCATCTTGTTCCCCTCTCACCAGCACAGGGATGTTGCTGTCTAAGCCCACAGATCTCCCCGATGCGCTCAGCCTCCTCCATGCTGGGCCAGGGGAGGGGAGGCCATGGCTAATCCATTGGCACCTTGCAGAAAAGAAAATGGGTCAGCGCTGGGAGAAACACCTTCTGCAGGTTATGGGAAAAAAAAAAGTCTTGTAAGATTTAAGAACTGGATCACTCCACCTCATTTTGTAGCACTCCCACAGGCCAAAGCATGTGGGAATAAACAGAAGAATTGCTTGTGCTGGGACAATTCCTTGTTGTTGGGAACACAACATCATTACCTGTTTTTACCCAGATTTCATTGGTTTGGGGTTTAGAGGAAGCAAGCCAGGAGTATGCTGGAACCCTGGGCCAGCACTACCTGCTGGCTTGCCTCTAGCCCCTTTGCTGTTTGCATGACAAGCCAATGAAACCCTTAAGATGAGGAGAATCAGGAGAAAGGATCCATCTCTGGCACAGAGCACAGTGTAGGTGTGCTCGAGAGCGCTCTAGCTGATGGTTTACACTGGAGAATTCAGGGAATAACAGAGAGGCAGAGAAGTAAACATGGAAGCTGCTGATGGATGACAGGTTCAAGTTCAAAACAGGAAAAATAATCCCCTGTCACAGAGCATTAGAAACATTTAATAGAAAACAGCTGCTAACGCAAGATGCTTTTATTTATCCAAATAATATTAAAGGAATGTTTCTTTGATAGGAGGTTTACTCAGGCTTTGCTTTTCATAATCTCCAGGGTAGCAAATCACTTTAGTTAATACCATCTAAAAAACTGCCAGTGCAGGGGATGGGAAAGCTCAAATGATGTTCAAGCTGCTAATTTATTAATCTGACATAGCAGCCCGTTTCATCCTATTATGTATCACGAAAAAGAACAAATCAAGACTCAAAGAACAACTTGATTTTACCTCTGGGGGGTGAGGGGCTCTGCGATCCTGGCAGGATGCACTATGAAAGATCTTCTGCAGCAGGGGCTGACAGTAGGTACGATGCTGGAGCACAAGAACTTGCCCGGAGCTGGCATGGCACTGCAAAACCTGCGACCCGTAGGCAGGAGCCCTTCTGAATGAGCCATTCGCGCACAAGCAGCTGCCTGCAGGACGCAGTCGTGATCTGTTGGTAGAAAAGAGACAACGTACTGGCATTTACCAACACACACAAATGCTTTCCAGTGTACCTCAAGAACTCAGTAGCTTTTATTAATTGTTTCTTTTTATTCACAAAGAATGAATTCAGAATATCCAGGCTGGCATTCGGTCAGATGAGCCCGTATCACTGACTTCAGCGATCTTCAGTCACCCAAATCTGGATGTGGTAGAGGGACAGAAACACCCAAGGAAACTAGAAATGCTGTGAAAATCCCCAGGAAAGGAATAGATTTCTCCTCCCTCCCACTTTTGTTTCTCTCTGCTCTGCATCCAGCTCTCTTTTCTCATACCTACACTTTCCTTTAAAGCTTTCTGGCACACAGTCCCAGCCAAACCTTCCTTATTTTACAAGCTGAGACAGAAACTACAGCTGAAGTTGTCAAGCTACGTAAATGTGACAGTTTATGAATGATGTTAGATTACAGTTGCCTGCTATTTGTTTTATTTATAGTGATGTACTGAAAGGAAATATTTTGTTCTTTCAGCTGTCCCGTCATGTTTTATAACAGTAGGATTATGGCTTGCCATGAGAAAGAATGAGATGCTCAGATTTGACAAGTGATAACTATTCAGAGGCTGTCACAGTAAGACTGATAATGTGACTGGTAATCTGACTAGACGTAGTTTTTTTTTTTTTTTTTTTTTTAATATTGCTTAAAAATTTTTAGCATGCTTAGGGGAAAATTTGCATGGAAATGCAACAACATACACATTTTAAGTGCCTAATTTACTTTACAAAAAAAAGTTTAAGCGCTCATACTATGTTTAAACATTATTTTATCTCTTAGGTAAGAGATGATCTGGGAGTCCTTTTTATGAGGACTCCCAGATATACATAATTTCAGAAAACTAGCACGCCAAAGCCAGCAAGAAGAGCGGATTAGCTGTTGCAAAATGCATCTTTCAGTCAGCAAATCAACACAGTTTCCCAGCTACAACACTTGTTTCACAACTACACAAACTCGCCTATTAGAAACCAAAATAAGATGGAATCAGTAATACTTTGTGAAGAAATGCAACTGTCAATTACACATTAAAGCACATTTTAAATCCATTCAGTACTGTTACTGCCGAGAGTCCGGTCCCCTATTTCTGCATAAAACAGGGCACTAACAAAGGCAATTGCACAACACTGGGGAGATTTTTTTCTGGATAGCTCCAAGTATTTCGACACAGCAGCATTTCAAACTTACCAGCTATTGATAATGCTACATCTGATCTATTTGGATTTAGCCCCAACACAGAAATCTTGCCCTTTCAGCTGTTTGATACGGGAAGCCATTTGCTGCCAGTGTTTCCTAGTTGCTATGGTGGTTACCACAGTCATTACCACCAGGATTGGACGTCCTGACCTTACCAGTTAAAAACCAGTGGAATGTGACTACAGAGAGGACCATTTATCTGCCATGCAATTTTCAACTCCCCATTGATCTAAATACTGCACTGAAAGACTGCAGGGCCAGAGAAAGGATTGTAGGACAGTGCAGTATCCTCTAAGCTTTCTGCCTACTATTGCAGGGAAAAAACCAGCATCTTACAAACCCACAGTTCAGATTCAGAAAAAAAAGCCCACCATCAAATTGTTTTGAAATGCGGATGGAAAGGTTAAAGCTGAGGCAAACTGAGGTCAAACAGCTTTACAGACTTTCCCTTTTCACAATGAAGGCAAAGGTTTAATGAAATCTACCCTTTTTCTGAAAAGTGCATATCAAAAACATGCCAGAATACAATGTATAAATCTACCTGTTCTATCTCTGCTGTGATCCCTAATCTTCATTTTCTCCTTAACAAATATTAACTCCTTTTTTTTTTTTTTTTTTTTTTGGGGGGGGGGGCGGGGGGGGGGGATGGGGGCAAACACAG